GAATCACATTCCCTATTTTTGAAAACTGCATTTTCAAGGATCAATCTTGAACCTAAACCGGACCAGATCTGAAACCAAAAGGTAGGAAAGGGATATACCTGATACGGAGTAACAATAACTCCCAACGAAGGTGTTCACGCCCAAGGAAAACGCCAAAGACTACTCCCACTGAAGATGACACAATGTAGGGTGGAGCTGAATCAGCTGGTGGTTCTTCAGCAAGAACCGAACTCTTCAACAATAATTCAATGGAGGGTGAGTGAGCACGACTTCATATCAGTTTTTCACCAAAAACTGATCAAGAACACTTCTTGATCGCTCCTACAGGTGGAGATCGAACTGGCTATGGCAGCAGCAACAAGAAGAGGCAAGAGTAGAAGATGGCGTCAGTCTAACTGGAGCTATCTTCTCTCTTGAATCTGTAATCTGATTGGGTGCTGAAGTGTTCGCCCTCCTCCTCTATTTATAGCCTTAAAGAGAGATTCTCCTAATCCCATTACGAGTTTCCTAATCCAAATCTTGTATTTGGATCTGGACTCTCTTTAAGAGATAAGGATAAACCCTTATCTTATCTGTAGATAAAGATCAGCCCCCCTAATCTTATTAGGAGTTTCCTAATCCAAATCTTTATTTGAATCTGGACTCTCTGAGTGGATAGGGATAACTCCCTATCATATCTACTGATCTAAATCCCAGAACCGCCCCTGTTTAATTAATCATATTAAACTAGTTCGAATTGGGCTTTAGGCCCATTAAGTCCATGTGCTCATTCAGCCTCCAAGGTTCAGGGCAATATTGGAATTCTGGTCTGCTTTAGGGTTTCAAGAAAACCCACACTACATGTACCTCAGGTCTCACCCTGGCAGCTGAGACAAGCCACCCCAACCAACTTGGCAGCACATTAGTGTCAGCCTTGGTAGGATAAATCTCCCCAGATCTATCCAATGGCTGTGAAGATTCTAAACTAACACGAGTCTCATATGTGTCTAGTTTAAGTGTATTACACAAAAATATACCATAATAACATGAATCAAATATGTACTTTATTCATTTACATTAAATGTCATAATGTACATCATTCTGATTGGAGCTAAGGGCATACACTATCTAACAATCATCTTTTGAAGCTTGGTAGGCAATGGCCAGCCTTCAGGACAGCACACAAAAAAGAACCTCCCCTTCCAGCGCTTCACCAAAGATGGGGCCCCAATGAGCACCTTATTGTACTGTTAAGCTGAAAAGTAATAATACCCCTGCTGGTGATGCTTCAGTTGTAGGAAGTAGACGAACATCAATAGGGTAATCTCTAGGACATGGAATGAACAGTAACACAAAAGGCTTACTATGTACCTAAAGGAGTTCGGCATCAACTAGATGGGTAGAACCCAATACCACTTGATACTTCGACAATCCCTTCGCTTAAAGGAAACCTCAGCTCGACTATTAGGCTATGCTCGTATACACAAAGCTCGCCTAGTCGAGCTTGGGTGGCTCTCTCACCAGCACCTAGGCACCTAAGTTCGTACTCCTCCAGTATACAATACAAGGCCATGATTCGGACCAAGTCCCTAGGCATCAGACAGCATGGAGTGGTCCCAAACCAGCTACCAACCTATGGAGGGAGGTCGGCCCCCTCCTCAGTTAACAACTTGACCTCGACCTCCTTGGCCTTGGCCTTCCAATCTGTGGCTCCCTCCAGGTCAATGGCCTCAGTCTCAAACACCCGGCCTCGGTCCCCTGGCTTTCGGCCTCACAAATAGCAAGTGCAACAGCCTCGATGAGAGACCCCATCTCGGACTCACTACTGGATGAAGCAAAGGAAGAGGATGAATAGGAAGAGCTGGAGGATGAAGAAGAAAACATCTTACTGGATGAATAGGAGTTTAGACCGCAAAACTGAAGCACCACTGAGCCAAAGACTACTTCCTATTGAGCTCTACAAGGACTCCCTTCGCAAATGAAAAAGTGAAAATGCTCTTCACCCCCTTTTATAAGGCTCCCAGTGATCTAGATCAAGGCAAATCAATGACATAGATCAAACGCTGCTCTCTAACAGCTCGGGAAGACAAAACGGCACTGCTGCCCTTTGCACGCGTATGCCCTTAGGAAACGAAACGACACTCCTACTGACTTGTCTCGAAAATGATACAGGCGTCGAACCAGCCGGTTCACTCAAAACTAGTTGCACCCTTCGTCATTCAGTTCGGAGAAATCAGCCGAAGTCAGAGCTCTTCCATGCCACGCCACGGCCGAGCACCACACTCCTCGACTTCGGAACTGGGGGAGTGGTGTTTGGGTTATGGTTGAGCTGGCCTTGGGTGCCATGTGTCACCTCCGCGACCGTCTTACCTCTTCAGCCATGTTGGCACAATGTAGGATGGATAAGCGCGACCACGAAAGGAGAACCCTGTATGGATAAGGAGGACAGCTCCGCCGGGGATTAGGACTTATCCCGAAGACCTCAATGGACAATCTCATCCCGACAACCCCGGAAGACTCATCCGAATAGGACTCGGATCCTCATCTATAAGTAGGTAACCCCTTCTCAAGGTAAAGGACTTTTGAATCTTCAGCTTCCATACCGTTATTCTGCCTTTGCTTGGACCAACACGTTTCTCTCAACTGCTTGACCTGACCACCCACTGTTCTTGATTGACTTGAGCATCGGAATGCTTACCCGCGGAACAACTCCTCGAGCCTCTAACTACTTTCTTGTTTTAGATCTTGGTGCGCAACTTCGTCCTACCTCGGATTTGCTGGTTGGAAGGATTATCTAACTACGACCTTGGTTCAGGACACCTCGGATCAGACAACATCACTAACAAAATTCTAAGAATTGTTTGCTTGTGGCATCATGTGTAAATTAAATATTTCCAACAACCTAATTTTGCCCCTTTTTGATCCATTTGAATTTAATTTGTTTGACTTATTTGGACAAAGACCTACCTTCATGGAGAAGACTCTAAGGAGATTCTAGGCAAATAAATGCTCACCTTTTTCCCCAAGGTTCCATTAAGCATATATTCATGGATAATAAAATAGTGCATTCTACATCAAAAACCTAAGGATGTGTTTGGAAATGATGCAAATGAAGTGTAAATCCCGGTTTAGGGTAAATTTGCACTTTGGTTCATTTTTGTCTGTGTTTGGCAATATTACATTTATATTGACAAATGACAGACCAATGCATATTTACATTGATAATAAGATGTAAAAGTACATCAATAGAAAAGAAGTAGATTTGCACTCAAGTGGGATTTTGATAAAAAAAAAAGCATGTGCTTTATTGGAATTCGTGTTTGCATCCATTAGAGATAAAGGTCTATTTGGTAAGAAGGTACATTTGTTAATGCAAAACTAACCCAACTTTGCAATTTATATGAACCGTTTTACACTCTACATATTTGCATTCACACATATTTGCATCGTTTCCAAACGCAACCTAAGCTTAATTGAACCGAACACAAACAATGTGGTATAAAGGTGGAAGGAGTCTATAGTTTAATTTTAGAAGATTTGTGCAAACCTGCATCCACTGCAAGGGGTCACCAGGTTGCTAGAAAATATGATTTGAAAATTCGAACCAAACATAGTAGCAACGAAGTTTTTCTAAAGATTTTAGTAATAATTGGGGGGTTGTTCCAAGTGAATTTTTTAACTGAAGCTTTTTCGTTTTGAGATCGTCAGCTTCCTTTATCGGGAGTTTTTACCAAAGGATTATTGAAAAATTTTGGGTAAATTGCTGAAACCTCCCTTGAAGTTTGGTAATTGAAATCACTTCCCTGAACGTTTCTACACAGTTCCAAGTAGATTCCCTCTGTTATATTCTTCTAAAATAAGGCACAAAAATGTCCAAATTATCCATGTAATTATTATTGAGGTTGCTTTCTACAGAAAAATACAAAGTTTATAAACAATAAAAAATATAGAATTTAAAGTTACAACTTCATATTTGAGCAATTGATGTGAAGGGAAAATTTGGAAAATAAATCAATTTCAAAAAAGAGATTGGGAAGGATTGGGCTAGTCATTCATATGAAAAGAAAATTGGAAGATGAACATTTTGTTCAAAAGTAATCATATTGGGTATTTTGGCTATTTTCATACCTCTTTTTAGAAGATTCTAAAAGAAGGGTCTACTTATAACTATGTCAAAAAGTTCATACGAGGTAATTGCGATTATCAAACTTCAGAGAAGATTTTGTTAACAACCAAAAACTTCAGAGGAGATTTCAGCAATTTACCCGGAAGCGTTTGCAATAGCAGAGGAAAAAAGGGAAATAGAGTTGAGACTATGAAAATTGAAATACGATGAAACCCTCGTTTATTTGTGAATAGCTGATGGTCCAACCGACCCAACTAGACAGTTTGTTGGATTACCCAACCCGCTATTGACCCGAAATAGAAAAACAAAACCCAACCCATTAATAAATGGGCGGGATGAAAATCGCCACCCCTACTATTGTTGACAACAGCAAAATAGCCTCTTCGCTAAACAGGGTTCCTCATGATTTGCATTTCACATGTAGCGGTGATATGAAAAGTGGTATTTCCAAGGCAATTTCTGAAGGTGATTGTGCTACTCTGATTAATTTCTTGTTGGAAGATTCTGGTAATCCTCTGTGGAGTGTTTTTACACTCTTTCATAACTGAAAGAATATTCTGAATCAGTACCTTGATTTCTCAGTAGTATTTTATATATCTATTGAGTTATCTAATGAATTTTAGGCTATTTGGCCTTTTTCATAAAAAAAAAAAGAAAAAGGAAAAGTGGTCAATTTTCTACTGTCCAAGGTTGAAGATGATTAGATGGGCTTTTCTCCATTTAACTAAAGACCCATCTAATCCCAAATTTAGATAAAGGTTAATGGCTTGACAGGGGAGGTCTTAGCCCTTTTTTTTTTTTTTAAAGAGAGGATGTTTCATTATCTAGGAAAAACCTCAAGCAAGGCTTTAAGTCTTCTACCTTTCGATTTTTTTTTTCTGCGTCTACGTTTCGGTTAATTGGAACAACAGCTTTGAATTTATTATCAAACTAGGTTTGCAAAAGTACACATGTAATACAATCATGATATTCATTTCCATTTATTAATTCTTTTTTGTTTCTAAATGCTGTAAAACCAACTACAGACTACAGTTTTATGTACTTATTGTTGATCATCCATTCGAGACTCCAGTGGTTCCTCACATTCTTTAGTGTCCAATAGGCCCATCCGAATGTGGCACGCCCATATACCTCCAGTTGGGCCGCCGCAAATCTCTGATAGTCCATCTTTGTTGCCCCATTGACTCGCCACTCTGCTACCCATTCCCCTGCATTTATCCATCAATATTATTGGACAGTCAATGTATTAATCAAACAATGAGACATTTTGTGAGTTTGTTGCCAGGAGACAAATTCAATTCAACGAATTGTAAAAACCAAGGTATCTCTGGGATTGGTCCAAGGCCGCCCTCGCCAATCGCCACCCATCCCGGCCCAATAGGATTTCAAGCCCACAAAGCTGGACCGTTGTGGGAACATCTCCCGAGGTGGTCAGCGGGAGATGTTATGTTCTCAATAACGGTTGGGATATGCTGTGGGGCTTAGATGTGAATTCTGTTGATATTAGACCATTTGAGCCGATTGGGTTTTCTTCTAGTCTAGTTATAAGCAATGGAAGAGGGAGAAGTAAGTTACCGACGAAAGTGAGAGGTCCATTTGATGTGGTGACATTATTGAGTTCAGCAGATCTGTTGGTGTGGATGAAGTCAATGTTTTCTTGCACAGTCATGTTGTAGAATGCATCGTTGAAAAGATTGTAGTAATGGACGTCGATTACAGATCCCACGAGACCGCTGGCAAGAGGGAAAAGTTCTCTCGGCTCAGATGGTTCTCCTAAACGGTTGGACATCACCACGTATGCCGTAGACGAGTGCTTGCGCACGGCATCGTAACCGGCTCTGTAGTACTTCTCTAGACTCGCCAACGTTACTCCGGGCGAGCGAGGCTCGTTCATCAGTTCCACTGCGTAAAGGCTCGGGTTCCTAGCGTACCTACGCATGTATAAATTACAGAGAAATTTCAATTGGGTACTGCGTATTCGATGCATTTACACCCTCTCAACACAAACTCCATAGTCTATTATAATGGGAATTAATAGTTTTCTGTTTTCTGGCACACTTGAAGAAGCTTGCCTGGCAGTGAGGAAGTCTATAACCTCGACGGTCTGTTGTATGTTGTCGTCGGTGGTTCCCCAGTCTTGAAATCCGTCTCTTGATGCACTGTGCTCCCAACCATTTTGTGACCCTGGCGCTGCGTGTAAGTCGATGATAACTTTGATACCGTATTTCCTGTAAATTTAAAGCCGGAGGCCGGCCGGCCGGAGTTAATTTTAAAATAAAGCAAATAAACAAACGGGGAAAAGGAAAGGATTATTATTTACAATTATCCAATAATCATGGATGGATATGGTTGCACTCACTTAGCCCACAAGAAGGCATTGTCCAAAGCTTGCAAGGATCCACCCACGAAAGGCATGGGCGGTGTTGGGTCGCTTGCTATCCACCACCCAACTGGAATTCTCACCGCATTTAACCCATTGTTCGATATAAACTTGAAATCATCTTCCACGATGAATGTGCTCCAGTGCACCTAAAACATAAAATTCATTCCGCTGAACATGATTAGTTTCATATATAATATAATTGTAAGCTTCTTTTATTTTTTATTTTTTATTTTTTCGGAAGTCTACCCAGGTGCTCGTTCACAGATATATACCAAAGAAGATGAAGATTGAAGATCGATCTTACCCTCATAACTTGTGGGGCTTTGTCAGGACCATACCCATTGGTCACTTGAAACTCGCCGTGCAACGTCCCAGCACTTTCCATTACAAAAACCGACGGATCATCATCTCCCCATCCACCATTGCCTTGGTAATCGGCTGTCACCAGCTCCTCTGTCTTCACCTATTTTTTGTTGAGATAATAATACTATTACTTATCAGGCTCCTCCATTATTAACTAACAGTGATGTTAATGGACTATAAACCACATAAATTGAAGGCGCTGGAACCACGAATATAAAACGTAGGAAATTACCTGTAAAAACAACCCATTGGGCGCTTTGATACGAACGCGACTTAAATCATCAGGTTTCCTCACAATCTCAAACGTTTCCGACCCACCAGCCGTGTTTGAAACAGCTACTACTTTAATCCCATCTCCTTGTACATCCAGTCCCACGAACTGTCTATTGAACACTCTAAATTGAAATGTGGTCTCATTGATCCTCCACAACTACAACGTCAATTAAACAACACGGATATCGATCGTCAGAAAAAAGAAGTGAGTAACTGAACATGAAAATTCTGTAAGTTGTTCTTAAGGCTCAGTTTGGAAAGAATACAAATACAAATCTGTACAGCGCAAATACAAAATAATACAAAGTACAAGGCTTTGTACTCTACAAATTTGTATTTGTACGTACTCCTTCCAAACTAAGACTCGCCTAATTGTTTCCTTTTTATTCAAATTTATCAGCTATAGCCTTACTTTAAACGTTTCCCAGCCAGAAGCAGATGTCCTGTTTGCAACAATGATTGTTCCGCCTCCACTCTCGGCACAGAGATACTTCCCCACTGTAACGGACTTGAATTGAAGTTGGTTTCCGTCCTAACAAAAGATCAAAACAATGGGACGTTAAGAAGTAGAGGTTACAGAGCTCAGGTGATCAACCCAATACAGTAAGAACATTACTAATTAATATATATACCAAGAGATCATTGTTGGGTATTCCATCAAAGAGAGTTGGTTTAATCCATCCTTCTGTTACCAGCCAACCGCCGAGGTTAACTGCTTTAACTCGAGAACTGGGGGTTTCCCTTGCAGCAGAAGCAAACGAGAGATACACTATAAGACAGCAGAAGAAGACATGGTAGAAAACTAGCAGCTGTCTCTTGAGTCTCCAGATTGTCATTGTTCTCCTCTCTCTTGGTTTGCTTTTTTTTGCCGACCTGCGAATGGATGCGATATCTTTGTGGAGTGCAGTCTAGTTATCCCTTTATAGTATGGCGCAATTGTGGTCAACGCATCTAGAAAAGTTGACTTGACTAACCGACAGTTCGCGTTTGACTTGGAAATAAATACCTAAACGTTCACTCCAAACCTCTTACTTAATTGGAATGGGCTTTTTTGTGTGAAAACGAGAAAGTCCAAAGATGTTTGCTTGTATACTCTATATCCATTGAGGAGGTGGTGTCGGTCCCACCGAATGGCCCACCATTATTGCCCATAGAATGGCCCACCGAAATAATATGGTTAAGCGATGAAAACTAATTCTCACCACATTTATTCAGAAATCAACAAGTATTATAACTGTAAATTCAATGGAATGAAACGTAGATTCAATCCTAACCATTTATTTTTGTTTGTTAAAAAAAATCTTAACCATTTATTTGGGCATTCTATTCTCACATATCTTTTAAAAATTTCACTAATCACTCTTTCTTATTATAAATATTAAATAGGGGTCACCCCCTCTTGGATATTGATTATTGAGTGTTTGGGTTCAGGTATAGGTATTTTTTATGGGGTATAAGAATGTGAGCCAGTGAAGTTCTCTAGTAATTTATTTTGACCCAGTTTGGCACATCTTTTCGTGTGAGCTATCAATTTTTTAAAGTCTGGCAGTTTATATTTTAGTCTTTTTTCATTAACTGTAGAAAACTGTAATCTCGAAAATATGTAGGAAATTTATTTTGGGCTATTTTTGAGAAGTTCTAAATAGAATTTTTGTCAAACTATTAAGATCTTGATATAATAACTCATCGTCTTTTGACTGTTAAAACTTCCAGAAGATATTTCAAAAAAAACTTGTCAAACGGCCCCTTTGTTTTGTAGTGAAAGAAATAGCTGCAAGGTACTACTATTGCATGTGAATATGAGTAATTTGGCCAAGTCATGTTAAATTTCGTGTTTTTATTGACCTTACAACTTTATCCTTGAAAAGAACAGAGTAAATTATATGAAATTGGATTTCACATTGTTGACTTTCATTATGTCAAAGTCCTAAAAGAATATCTTAGCAAAAGAAAACCCCACCATTGTTGGCCTTCACAAAGTCTTCTTTAGGGTGCTTCGCAACGGATTCTTTGATATCACAATTCACATTTTTCTCTGCTGTTAACCTGCACAGATCAAACTCTATTGAGGATTCGGGTCAATACCATTGAAAATGACATCATTTCATTCATATCAAATTTACAATTTTTTTTTGAAATATTATATTATTATGCAATTTCTCTAATTATTCACAAATGGAGCTAGAGAAAAAAAAAAGACGCCTTAAGAAAAATTTCTTTACAAGCTTAAGAGAGGAAGAGGGTTTTCCAATGCACAAATTTTGCCTTGGTTCTATCAATTAGATAACCAAAATAGTTTAGCTGTTCATTTGTCAAAATCAATGGGAAGACCCAAATATTTACTAGGCTTTCTTGCTATCTGAATTTTCAAACTTGTAGCCACTGCTTTCTAATGTTTTGTGCATATGTTTTATTAAAAAAAAACATGTATATTTTATATTTTGGAAAATTCATCTATTGAGTAGTCTTTCATAGCAATTGATTTCTTGAGAAAATATAGCTATTATCTTAAAAAATAAGTGAGAGATTGCTTCGGAAATTTGCCTTCCTTTAATGATACATATAGTTTTGGATTCTAGAAGGTGAGAAAAAGCAATTGACAAAGCTTTCGAGCAAAGAAAAAAGAGAGAGATGAAAGTAGGCTCCCCTTGTCTCATTCCCCTAGTGGGAATGGTTTTTTTTAAGGTTATGTTTGGTTTGAAGGAAAAAGGTAAGAAAAGGAAGAAAAACTTTATTTTCTAAAAATTTCTCTATCTTTCTCTATTTTTTTTCCTTTAAATAAAACACAACCTAGAGGAGAGCCATTTACTAGAATTTGATATGATAATCATTACATTTTTACGTGTCAAACAAATGCTCATCACAAAGTCAAATTGCAATACATAAATACTCTGGTTCAATGTTTGTATTGCAAACAAACAAAGCTTAATAGTCCAACCCTGCTCGATCACCCAATATATATATATATATATATATATATAATTCAAATGTTTCAAGATATGACAAGGAAATAAACGCCACTAACGATTTTATTTAACTTGCTTCTTCCCCAACAATGTGTTTGTGGTACATGAGTAGGCTTTCCATTTCGGGACTAGACCCACCTCCTCATAAATCTTTGCTTTTAATTCTATAAAAAAAAGCTTTGCTTTTAGGGTCCAAAATGTATGATATAGTTCGACCCTTTCCAATGAACCCAAATGGGAATACTGGGTGATGCCCATTTTCTTCTTGCTAGCTATAAATTTAATATAAAAGGGCGTCTCTGGGTTGGTTAATGCTGACCTGCTTTTATTGGAGTCCAAGTCAAGGCAGGCCCCCAGTCCACTCACTGCTAAAACCTGTATTATTAGATAAAATAGATGATGTCTTTGAGCCTAGCTAGCTCCTTTTCATTTGCAATTTGTTAATAATACATGGTTCATGGCATGTACTGATGACGTTTAAGGATTTTTAATCTCAACGTCATCTTAATTTGAACACACTTTATAAACAAGGCCAGTCAAATAGGCCTAATGCTTTGGTGGCATTAGCAAATTAAGCCATAACAAGATAAGGATAACATTCAGTCAAATAGGACACTCACATGCATCCAAAAACATATAAAGAAAAGGTCATAGAGAGACATAGTGGACGAGTGGATGAGGCGCACACAGTTTCTCATTATGGAGAGAAGCTTCTATTGCTGCTCCACCATACAAATGCTAATTTGGGCAGGGATTTGGACTAAACCATTCATGCATCAAATACATCCCCCCCCCCAAGTCCTAAAGTCAGCGGATGATCAAACAAGGCTGCTCAAATTTAATTTCTGGCTTCATTAATATCAGAAGAACCTAAATAGCTAGCTAGCTGTTAGTTTCCATTTTCCAGTCCCCCTCACATCACATGCACATGTAACCCGTGGACAAGGAATTTCCGTCGAGAGCTTGGGGGGTTCTCTTTTTCTTCTTTCGACATCTCGAGTTAGTCAGCCCACTCCAACCCCATTGATAAATGATAATCACTCTGTTGAATAAATTGGGCCATAAGCCCCGAAAGTCAAATATATGCATGCGGATGCAGCCCATTTAGTTAGCGGAAGAAACTATGGTTTTTAAAATCGGATTGGACCGGATGGTCAGATTGAAAAATCGAGAACTAGTCATTCGACCGGTTCTGTTTTTTCTCAAACCTATTTTTTTCTTTAAAATTATTGATTTTAGTCAGTAAATCGCTGAATCAACCAGTTAATTATTCAAACCGTTTGAACAATTTTAACCGTTTTTTAATTTTTTGTTAAAACAGGCTGATCGTTCGAATCAAATGGTTAGACCATTCGGACCAATAACCAGACCCCTGACCGATTCAATCACCAGTTTATTTTTTAAAAACCATGGAAGAAACACATTAATGAGACGTACAACAGCTTCAAGCTTCAGCTTGCGGGCGATGATGGGTTGGATACATCTTGGATGTATATATAACATCTAGATCTAGTTATTGAAAATTTGAAATTAAGGCTGCAGAAATTGAAAGAGGAATCACCTACAACTAGGGCTCGCCTTATTTGACCTCTATTCCCATCTTCCGTGATGGTGATCCGTGATCAGGAGTAGTAGAGCCATCATTTTGACCTCCACTACGACGACCTTCACTAACCCTTAAATATTGCAGCAACTAACAGCATATAACATATATAAGCTATCTTCTATTTCTATTTTTGTGGCGGTGGTTTTACGACCTCCTTCTGTCACCACCAGTCAAACCCATCAAATTAGTTGAACGTAAGTCTTGGTGTTGGTGGGTCCAATTGTTAATATAGGGAGTGGGTTATGGCTAACAAGGGCTGAGATAAAATCAGTGGGTCCTGATGTAAATTTTCAATTTTGGACGCTTCCAATGGATTTGTTGTGATAAAGTCACACGGAATCATTCTATCCTTGAGACTACCAGTATACAGATATTTCCGGTTGAACCGTATTAAGCAGTTCACCTTTGATCATCCAGTGGGGAAGATGGACTATTTTACAGCTTTATATATTCTTTATAATCTACTCAAGAATGTTAGGTTCCAAAATTTCTGTGCCTTCTTTATTGACCAATAAATCCATCCGAGCGTGTCACAAACGGGTTGGGGACAGGGAGCCACTCCCCACCATTTTTTTTTAATGATGTTAAATTTATTTTATTTTTTATTTTATTCTAATTTTTTAAATAAAATAATTATAATTTATAATTTTATCAAAATATATTCAAACATTTAGACATGTTCAACTATATTTTTACAAATATTAATACAAGTTTGAAAAATGCTAACACAAATATACATCACTAAGTGAGGATCCCCAATCAAGAACCGCACATGGTGGGGAATTCCCACCCCATTCAGAGTAAATCCTACCAAATTCATCTAATTATAATTGGGCTTTCCTAGCATGAGGAGCCCTAGTGCAAACAACCAAACATCACAACCTCTAACGGTTAATGGTTGGTAGATGGTACAAACTTCAAATATAAGGTGAATTGATAAAACTTTCCCTGAAGTTTTTGACTGTTCCTGAAAACCTCCTTTAAAGTTTGGCACTTGTAATGACCTTTCTGAATTTTTCGACACAGTTGCAAGTAGATTTTTTTTGCTAGAATCTTCTAAAAGGAGGCACAAAAATGTCTAAATACCCATATAATTATTATTGAACCTGGTTTCCACAGAAATATACAATACAAACTTTATAATTAATAAAAAAAAGTAGAGAATTTAAAGTTGCAGCTTTACATTTGAGGGAATGATATGAAGGACAGATTTAAAAAATAAATCAATTTCAGAAAAGAGATTAGAAAGGTTTAGACTAACAAATTCATATGAAGAGAAAATTAGAAAATAAACATTTTGGTCAAAAATA